TAAGCCATTTAAATTCGCTGTTAGATATACTTTAGTACTTTGCTTTTCCATTCTTTCCTTGATATTATAAAGACTCAGTAGATGAGATGTACGCATTTGTGCATTTTGATTATATGATATATAATATTATTATTAACGAGATAAACTGAACAAAACCTTTTCTAAAAATATCTGAAAACTTCACATTGGCAGGAGAGCTTAGTTTTAAAATTTTGAGTCAAAAATAAAATTTTAATAAAATCAGTATATCACCAACCACTAAAAATACTTTTATGCTATCGATCTGACCACGAATGCATTAAAAATGCTCTTTGAAACTTAACTTTATAAAATATCTCTAAGATCGTCCCTAAGATAAAGTAAATACATGAGAGTCTTGAGCTTGTATGTCACTTATTTTTACTTAATTTAAGCTCTATCGTATATTATAAAGGTGCTTCTATTGACATCGGTATCTAAAATAATATGATATATGATAAATAAGATATGTCACTATGAAATCTTTCATAGACCATATCGAGTTGATTGGGGTGGATACAAAATAGTTATAGCGCTTGGAGAGACAATTTTTGACCTGTAATATGAAATATTTTATATATACTGTCAATGTTGATAAAGATCGTGTAGCTTAGGAGTATTCCATAAAGCATTTTGAAAAAACTTTGTCGGATGGTATAGTACCGCCGCCATTGGGCAAGACAAGAAGTGATGCTAGGGATTATTAGGAGTAAAAGTTTCGAAATCGATTATAACTTAACTTTCTTATTTGTGAATTAAAAAAACTCAATTTTATTACACATATATCGAATGTAAATATATTTAAGAATATTCTCTAAAAATTTGCAAATAGTTTTAGAGGTATGAGCATATTTGTAAGAATTTTTTAACTTTATGTAATCGACACCTAAAACGTTAAAGGCATTTTTCTCGAAACGTTGTTTTCAAAGTCGGTAAGGAAAAAATTTCTCCAAAACGGCTTAAAATTTTCATACGATCTTCTTTGATATATTTGTCAGGTAAAATTTTGACAATAATTTACAGTTTTAAGCCACTCTGTGGGGTAAATTTTTTTCACAAAAAAACTTTTACTTGGGATACCGTCATTTTGACAAAAATCATAATTTTGCTTAGTCTTTCGACCATTGTTTGTGTACATTAATAACAATTTGTTTGCTTTTTGGATTAGAGATAAGCCAGAGATAGGCCAGGCACCGTTTTGGAAGATCTTCTTGAAAATTGGCTATTGGGTCATCATGCGAGTTTAAAATATTTTACAATGAATTGCCGATTATTAAAATACATTAAATTTTGTAAAAACGGTTTTTTATTTATTTGTTAACTAGAAAGCCTTTTCAAAGAAACAAAAAAACGTTTTTCCTACTTTTAAGTGGTAATAAGCCCTTAATCATAACGGTACAATACAGAAAATACTCAGCGTGCAGCACTTTAATTAGAGCTAAATTGTAGATGGTCTAATAATTTCAAATTAGTCTTCATTGTAATTGTGACCCTATTTTTAGTGAGATCAAAGACAAAAACAATGTCAATCTATCGATTGCAATTTTTTAAATGCAAAACTTCCAATGAGTCGCATCAATCGCATGGACGGTGGCTCTAAAATAATGTTTAATATCAAGATAAACATCATATATATGAGAAGAAGCAGAAGTTATATTTATAAAAATAAATTAGTTGGGAATATATTTTTAGTTAAATTAGTATTCAGACACAATCTCACTCGATACAAAACATGTTGGATATTCCAAATTGGTTACATGAGGGTTTTCCACAATTTTCAATCTCATAACGCTACGTAGGTAATACCTTACTATTTCCGTATGCTATTTCCGGACTCTTGTTGCTGAAATGAGTTAATACCTTTTCACTTTTTACTTTCTAGATGTGATCTCAAATAACTACAACAAATAGTTTATGTGCACCTCAAAGTTAACATCTGTTCGCTATTGAAACAATAAAAAGTGTAACTTAAAATTCAGTTCACAAATTATTATATAACTGGCATAATGCACTGGTTGCTGCGAAATTCACATGCAATTCAACCAACGCAGCGCAAAACAATGAAAATTTGCTAATAAAAAAAAGCATAACAACAGCATTTTACTTTTCCTCACAGATGCAAGTACCAACTGAATACGAAATTAGATTTTATAACACACAGACAGACGGACATGACTAAATCGAATCAGCTCGTCACGCTGATCATTTACAAGAATATATATATTTTTATAGAGTCTCCTATTTTTCGTTCTGGGTGTTACAAACTTCGTAGTGCAGGGTATAAAAAATGTATAGCTAATATAGAAAAATAGCTAAAACTCAAACTGTCACCTATCACAGGTTTAAAATAAAAGAAATAATGTTGATACTCACTCACACACAAACATACATACATACTCCAATGTTGTTAACTCATCAGACAGCAATTGACTTTTTAACAAAACGTTAATTTATGCCTAGCGATGAGCCAGTCATGACGGCACTTTTATTATCATTTTGTTGTTGTTGTTGTCAATTGTTTTGCACTTCTTACAAACATTGTTTTTGTTTTCACTTTTGTAACTTGCCATATCTATTTATTTGCTTAACCGCGCAGTGACACCCGTAAATTATATGCAAGATGTTTTGTACAACAACAACAACAACAGAAAACACTAAAACGAGATAAAAGATAATTTTAAAAATAGTTAATTAATAGTTATGACACGTTAACTACTCAGTAAGCACTTATTCAGCTTAATGAGTGACTGCTGGGCACTACGCCCACCTGAGCGTGCGCTGACGTTAATTTCATGCTTATTAACTGTTAATTTATAGCAGTTTTTCGTTTTAATGTTTAAATTAATGACTTTAGGAAATGATTGTTATTATTGTAAATCACTAATCGAATACAAAAAAAAAATTAATATTGTGATCATTTTCGTAAGTAGCAAGAGGGAAATTGACAATGAGGGTAATTTGCTCAAAATTAGGTTAAACGTTAAATTAGAACATAATTAAGTGTAAACTGTATAATACTATTATCAGAAAGTAAAATCGGACAATAAGTTTTCAAACCCAATATACCTAGTGCTCTTGAATGACTATATATCGAAAATATTACAATAGTCTATATAGATATTAGATATCTTAGTTATATGAGCTGATGCTAAATATGAAGAAACTCTGGTTAATACTTCTTCTAGTCCCTATATTCTCGACGTAATGGTTTTCGAACATCTAGTTGGCTCTATTTCATATATGTGTAGCGATCAATTTACTCTGTATATGATATATTTTATTAACTATAAAATGAATTTGTGCTAAAAGTCCATGAAATCGCTCATTATGTTCTCCTAATCTCCTATTATTTTCCAAAAATTTTTATTTTGACGCTTCTGATTTATTGTAACCGATTTGTGATATATTCGAAGGAGTGAAAAAGAATAATAAAATCGCACAACCATGATAGAACAGTTAGACTCAAAGCTACCATAAGTGTGGCAACTCTCTAATGAATAAGATCTGATGTAATGAATTACGTTGGCTTTTTTATTTGAGAATAATGAAATTTATAGAGTTGGATCAGATTTCCCCCATATACCTATATATATGAAAGTTAAGAATTTTTGTTATTCTAGTTGAACTAATATAATAAATATTGGGAAGAAATATTATCATGAACATACCTTTGTTGGGTGCCAAGAATTTATAAAATCAATCCTCGATCCTACCTTACCTAGATATCATCTGATCAAATTTGATTCGGACTCGTCCATTGAAACGAAAAGTTTGTCTGGAATTGAAGTAGTTTGCTTGAAATTTTGAGTTTCAAATGGAATCACGGTGGACTTGTTGAAAATGAAAACATGAAAGTTATTTAAGGAAGGTAGTCATGAACACAATTATTTGAGCGACACGAAGCATTCTGTTAAGGTACTGATGTGTGCGTGAAAATCCTCGTGTTCGCATCAAAAAGATAGCAGAGGCTCTCAACATTCCAATGTTGATTGAGTCAACACATTTTGGTTAATGTTTTAGGTATGAAGCGCGTCAATACTAGATTCGTACCAAAAGAACTGATTATTTTGCCGAGTAAGAGTCGTCGCAAAAGAGACGAGACGCGCGTTTATAAATATGACGTTGAAACTTTCCAAGAATTCAGTGAATGGTGCACAAAAAATATGCCAAAACTGAAAAAAGCAATATATACTGAAGACATTGAAGGCCAACCCAACCGAGCCTTGTAACAAGTGTAGGGAAAACTAAATGAGATTAATGTTGGCAGCTCAGCACTGGCTCAGGAGCATATTTTGAATGCGATAATATAAATTTGTATTAAAATACGTGAAAATGCAGTTTTTTTGTTAGTCTGAGTTAAATTTGATCAGTTGGTATACCCCAAATTTGATTTCAGGTCCTTTGGTTGACGTGCATATATATCTGTAGATCAATATTACAATAAATTTAACCGAAAATGTTACAATTAACATAATGTGCGATTTAATTAGGTTAAGTTATTTATGAGCAATGAACAGCCTTTTTTATTAAAAGGCCAATTGAATGACTTTTTTAAATAGTTCATGTAGGGTTATAGCATCTTCGCTATGGGGTTTTTCGCTTTCACTACTGCTAATTCAGCTTTGTATTATATTTGAAGATTATGTCGGAACTCATGACGTTTGAGTATAGCTTTCTTCAACATGATTATATTTTAATACTAGGTTTCTTTAGGCAACCACGTTATAACTATATACATGTATATATGCGATGGAAAATTTTGCTGAAACGAAATTGAGTCACTTTAAACTTTGATGCGATAACTCGCATTGAAACATTACTAAACATTTTAATAAATTTATAGTTTACGTACTCATTATTCATGCCAATTATCAAGTATGTACATAAGTATTTATAAATATAATTGTATTTAAATTACCAATATATTAGCCAATGAAATAATTAACAAAGAATGATTTGAATTTTATGCTTCCTATTTTCAGCTGTTTCATCGCGCTCCACGTCAACACACACACAAATGCCTAAACCACTCGTAGATAACTCCGCATCTATGTCACAATGAAGAGTATTATTTCTCGTTTCTATAGTAATTATGGCTTTAGTCTTATTTATGTGGTAAGTTGCATGCTGTGTACAAACATTTTATTGCTTCTAAAATATATGCATTTAGTCTAACGAGCAATCATAAATCATAGCTAGTTATATAACGAGTACGAATTTTATTGGCCGAGATTTTATGTTTCTGTTTGACAGCACATTGTGTATTCGTTCGTGGGTAATTAAAAGTTAACTCGAATGTGAAAATTACTTTTTTAAATAGTAGCTAAAAATATTAAAGAATCAATATATAAGCAATTATGTGTAGAAAGTTGAGGTTATGGTATTCCTGACTTTAGGCAAAAATTCGCTTTGACCGAAATGGTTTGATCATTCAAAAAGTTTACATATTCCAAGGAGTCAGTTTTTATATCTCACATTCAATTTTATATTTATTTAAGGGGTCTAGATAAGGATATGGACAGACTAAAACCATTTTCTTAAAACGCTATTCATCGTTTATTGTTGAATTTTGTTGAGCACTGCACTCGGAAATACATAAAATTGTTTCGACAAGTAAGATCAAGACATTCCAATGAACTGACCGACGCTATTAGAAAGAGTTTTACCCAAAATCCACAAGGATCGGTATAGTTGCCACATTCAGCATTTTGGAATAATTGGAACCGCTGATAAACCCTTCATATTGTTTATAATGATTAAACAGTTCTCAAAGTGAACCAGAGCAAATCTAAGCCATGACGTATGTTTATGTTAAATTCCAGTAAATATTGTAAAGAAATTTGCTGCTACCGATTTTATGTTAACCTTGAAAAAGTACTGAATAAGTTAATAGCTCCACAATAACTTTATATTAGTCTCATACTTTATTCTGATTCATACTTTTATTGCCTCTGTTTCAGTTTATGGTGTCATTAAGTTTACGTATTTTTACTTCTCAGATACTAGTTTATACAACATCAGCGCACAGTGTACCGTCTTGCGGTTTATATGGAGCGCCGCCGTGCCAGTTTGTACCAGCGCCGCCGGGACAAACACCTTCATGTGCTCGACCCGGTCGAACCTACTGCGAGCATGTGGACAATTATCCAACGTAAGTTAGTAAAAACATAATTTTTTTTTGGTTATTATTCAGCCGAGGGACTTTATTTGAAAGCTAGTTAATTTTGGTACTAGAGTTTTAAGAATGTATGCGGAAGAGGTAAAAAATGTCGAATACTGGTGATATTATTTAAGTACCTCAAACGTAGTATTACTTTCTACGTTATGTTAAGCTGTGTATTTTTGTGTTATGTAATGTTATATTATGTTAAGGTGTGTTATTTTAAGTTAAGGTAAGTTAAGTTAAGTTGTGGTACGTTAAGTTAAGTTAAGTTATGTTGTGTCTTAAGTTATGTTATGTTTAGTTATGTCATTTTAAGTTATGTTATGTTATATTATGTTAAGTTGTGTTATGTTAAGTTAAGTTAAGTTCGGTAATGTCATAAGTTATGTTATATTATGATAAAAGGTTATGTTAAGTATTGTCATGTTAAGTTATGTACTGGTGATATATTTTGAGTACCTCAAACGTAGTAGTACTTTCTACGTTATGTTAAGTTGTGTAAGCTTATATTATGTTAAGTTGTACAGTTAAGTTGTTTTATTTTTTGTCAAGCTATGTTATGTTATTTTAAATTGTGTTATGTTATGTTGTGTCATAAGTTATGTTACATTATGTTATGCTATATTATTTTATGCATAACATAGCATAATGTTAAGTTATGTACATATTTTAAAGTGACCAACAAAAACTAAAAAAAAAAAGTTTTTTACTTAATCACACTGACTTGATATGAGAATTACTTGTATAATTTTTTTAGGCTGACAAATTCGCATTTTCCACTATTATTAGCTAATTAAACAAAGGCCAAGCAAATCTGCTAATCTTCTGGTAAAACCACTATACGTCAAAGACAAATGTTTAAGCAATTAGGCAAAGCCGGTAACGGTGACTGGCTTGGCGCCAATATATTTTATAGTTTTATGTTGCTTACCAAACTTACGAACAAATCACTTCGTGTAGAAAAAAGTGAATAAAAAAAAAACTTCATAAAAATAGCCAATACCTTGTAGTTTTATGGTATGTGTGATAACTAAGTAGGTGCAGGTCTATGTTTTAATAACCACTATTTTAGTTATCCGCAATATAGGAACTCCGCAGTCAACTTAAAATTATTTATTCTCCGTATTACTAAATAAAACATGTAGACGTGAAGAGATTGTCGCTGAAGTGTCTGAAGGCTTAAGTGGAAATAAATTAACGCTTACGTATGAATGTTTACAAAATAAGTCTAAGTTAGAGGCAATAAATAAGGTTTTGCTCCAAATGACGGTGGTAGGTCCACTTTTTAAACAACGAGACAAAAAAATATAAAACGAATACATTAAAAAAAATGCAAAAGTCAGCAAATAATTTGTAGACACTTCTATTGATTAAAAAAATACATAAGTAGCAAATGAAATTAAAATGTAAAAGCTTTGCACAACAATAACTAAAAGACGGCGACTTATGAAAACACATTCCAAATTAAAATATATATAAATTTGTTCATCCGGATTAGAATCTATTGTAGCCAGCCAAGCGTGTTCACTCAAAGTTTTGTAGAGCGTTCACCTCTAAAGTGCGAAGTAACAAACCTGTACTGATAAAAAACTATATTTTCACGTATTTTAATACAAATCTCTATTAACGCCTACAACATAGGCTCCTCAGCCAATACAAGCGTGCCAACACTTTACCCAATTTCCGAGTGCCTTCAGCGAATTTTTTTTCGGTTTCGGCTAATTTTCGCAAGGCCATTTGCTAGATTGTTGGAAAACTTAGACGTCGCATTAAAAAACACACGATACCAGTAGTGATGCATTTGAAGAATATAGGCTTCTAACTACGTTGTCAAGCATCTCTTTTGTTACCCCATTTGACGTCGTTTTTGCAAAAGATTTGGGTGTTTTGGTGCCAGTTTAGCCTTGACACGGTTCATGCCCAAAAACATTGATCAAAATATGTCGGGTTAATCTATAAGATCTGTTTATATCCTCTACTATCTCTCTGATGCCAACACCACGATTTTCAAGTACTGTGTCTTTAATTTGTTCGATGTTATTGCCATTAACAGAGGTGTATGGACGATTCGCTTGAGGCACGGTTTCGATGACTTCCTTACCTTTACCTAATGCTTTCTACCACTCAAAAACTAGTGTTCGTGATAAACTAGACTCCCTTCTATACTTCTACAACATTTTCAATGATTTATTTATAGTGAATCCATTGGAAAGCAAAACTTCAAGCAAATTCGGTATTCAATTCCTTTTTTTATGGTGAAAATCCGCTACCGAACACACACTAATTGACGTATGGAGATCAAACTTCACACGAACATAGGTTAAGGCTTTATGAATTTTTGTTAAAAAATTTCTCGATTTGCGCTTGCAGCTTAAATGGATCAGTCAATGTCGATTAGATTTGGCATCTGACACATTAGAAACCCGAACTGTTCATTAAGTTTCATTTAAAGATAGTCGACTTTAAATATAGCCTTCAAAAATAATGAAATATAATTCTATTGAGTTTTAGGTTTCTTGAAAAATACCAAAGAAAGTTTCGTTCAAATTCAAGTAATCACCAACAACATCACTGAAAGAAAAAAAATCGTTTTCGTATACCGATTCCGAATATATGAGGGCAACTAAAACGTAAAACTCAAGACAGTATAATGATATTTTGGAAGGTCTGAACCGAATGAAACCTTAACGTCACACAGTACATGCGTAATAAATACTACTAACCTATATCGAAAGTTGTAGATTATTTTTGAGCTTCAATGACTTACTATATATAGGTTTCTGGGTTATTTCAGTTAGCACCTACTCCTATATATTCTAAAGGGAATGTAAATGTATATTACCATACTTTTATATCCCGGTGAATCCATATGCAATTCAAATTATTTCTTTATAAATTTGGAAATAAAAAAATCCAGAGTTATTAAGGTCTATTGGTTAAAAATGGTCGAATTTAAAAATGTGTTCTGTGAGTAAGGAAACAGGATGGGAAAGTCCTACTTTCAGGCAACTTATAGTTGAGTGTATAAAAATGAACAGGGAAACAAATATAATGTTTTTGGAATACTGAAGTGTACTTTACATCATAAAGGTTCGGCGTTCACAGCTCTCTTTTCAAGTAGATCCCAAGTGCCCTTTGTTACTAGGATAAACAGCGTAACCTAATCTAACTTCACCCATTTAGTCGATCCTAGAGTCAAAGAGAGGGAGATTATAGAAGATTATAGTCGAGACTGGATATATCCATGTTACCATAAGCAGTTATTCTAAAAGTGATCCCCTTTAGGCAGATAATATCAATCTTTAGAATGGCTTTTGTTATGAAAAAATGAAACAATTAATCACGTGAGGTAGAAAAAACCCGTCTTATTCTTTCTCATAATATTATCTGACACTTTACTACACTTTACCACAAATGTTTCAACGGTTGTAACACTAAATTGGTTTCAATACAAAATTTCCATAATATATATTTTAAACAATACCGTATACGAAAACGACCATAAAAAGCAAAAGTAAGGCGTAACTTTACATTCGATTTGATTTTTTTTTTGAACTTTTGATTTTTTTTAAGTTCTGGACATTAGGCCTGTCCCTTAAGACTTATTATGCGAACGTCCACAACTCTGATAAAAGATATACAAAATTGAGGAAAATTAATTTATTAAAGCAATATAAGAGAAACCTGTATCACATAAACCAACTTTAAAAGAATGAAGACACGCATTTCTATAAAAACTGTGTCAATGGCACTAAGCATAATTATTGGCAACTTAGTGTATCCTTCATCAACATTTACAAACATATTTACTATAAATAATTTTATTTGAATAGTATTAGCTTCAAAAGTTAGGAATTTTTGTTTTATGCAACACGAATATTGTGCGTGTTGTAAATAGTTTCTTTTTAAGCCTCCTACGCCTGCGGCACAACCGCATAACGACAGGTAGCGCTGTTATAAAGTTTATGTAAATTCGCGCTAATACATGTCTGTGGACTTTTAACCGAAAGCTTCTTACACAACTTTATTGTTATTTATTCCGTGTTTTTTTTTTTACTTTTTGGGTTTTTGTTAGTGGCTTGCTGTTAATCTTTTGGAGAAAATACCTGTTTTACTGCCCCAGTCACCAAAATTTTATTTAGTCGCACCGTCCGTCCATCTGTGATTGTGACCGTCTGCTTGTCACATGAACACAATAAACTGATGGATTGCCTACAATATGATAAACCACATTTGTGGGATTTTTCTTTTTGTATTTTAATCGCGCACACTTTTACCGTTTCGTACATTTTGGTTGTCACGTGACTAGAATTAGTTATACGAGCGTTGATTTAATGTTGCTGCCAAGTTTTGAATGAATTTAACAAAACAAGTTTGTTTACATAATCAAATCGAATGTAAAGTTACACCTTACTTTTGCTTTTTATGGTCGTATTCGTATACGGTATTGTTTAAAATATATATTATGGATATTTTGTATTGAAACCAATTTAGTGTTACAACCGTTGACACATTTGTGGTAAAGTGTAGTAAAGTCTCAGATAATATAATGAGAAAGAATAAGACGGGTTTTTCCTACCTCACGTGATTAATTGTTTCATTTTTCCATAACATAAGCCATTCTAAAGATTGATATTATCTGCCTAAAGGGGATCACTTTTAGAGTAACTGCTTATGGTAACATGGAAATATCCAGTCTCGACTATAATCTTCTATAATCTCCCTCTGTTTGACTCCAGGATCGACTAAATGGGTGAAGTTAGATAAGATTACGGTGTTTATCCTAGTAACAAAGGGCACTTGGGATCTACATGAAGAGAGAGCTGTGAACGCCGATCCTTTATGATGCCAAGAATCTCTAAGTATAGATCAAAAGACAGTCATGTATCGACAATATGATTCCAAAGACCCTCGTGTAATAACAAATCCAGCCAATTCGCTTGGTTCATTGAAAGTATGACTACCGAGATGTTTTAACCTCAATCTAACAAAAGCGGACGTTAGAGGATAAAGGTTTCAAGATGTTTCCACCCCGACTTCCTCCATAAAATTATAGCAATTTGTCCCATTATTTCCCATTTTCCATCAAAATCAACGGTACTAAACGTACCTATAATACCATCTGATCAAGTTTGACTCGAACTGGTTCATTTTCCCAATTGTCCGCCCACCTCTGTCAATGACCATCTCATCGAAAATGTTAAGGAAACAGTGCTTGGAAGCCGTCGTGTAGACATCAGAGAGATAGCAAAGGATTTCAACATATGTATATTATGGATCCACCGATCCCATTTTGGTGAAAGCAACTCTCTCCTACACCTATTCTACTCAACGTTCGCAAAAGAGATGGTTGACATGTATGTAGTTGAGCGTCCTATATTGATCAAACGCTGCATTACTGGTGACGAGACATGAAACCGGAAAAACCAAAATTCGCTTAAGACAGTGGCCATTCCAGCCTAGATTTATAACAAGAATATGGAAAATTAGATTAAGCACTGGCATGCTTTTATTAGCACAAAAGGAGCGGAAATAAAATATGTATTAAAATAAGTGAAAATGTTGTTTTTTTGTCAGTATGTGCCAAATTTAATGAAATGCTATACAAAATTACTGAACACTTTGCTTTGTTCTCTTTTACTTCACAGCTATCTCATTAAGCATCTCGTCCATAAATGGGGTTATGAAGCTAAGAATCTCCTTGTGGATGAATCGTGGGATGAATTCGCCGCATTGACGTGGCACGAATCGCCAGTTTTCTATGATCCAGCCTTTATTTTTAATCGCCCCTATAATAGCGGTAGTGATGACTTCAATGGCTACAAATATGCCTCACCCAGTGGAAATAGAAATGGCGGTGTCGGAGCCGGTGCTACCAGCAATAGTGATAACACATTTATCATTACAAAAGCACAGACGACAGAGACTCCCACGTGAGTTGAAATATATATACTTCTATTAATGTGTATGCAGAAATATTTTTTACATACAAATTTTAGCTTCCTCTTCTACACCTCCGCTGGTCAGCGGCCGAATAAAAATGAGGTGAACAGCTATAGCGGTACAGGGGCCGGTAGTGGGCATAAAGCTTCGTCGAATAGCCCCGCCTTTTGGCTTAAACGCATAACACGCAATGTTGACGGTGTGGTGGGCGTAGAAGTAGGTGGCAACTTAACCGCCGCCTTGACTTCATACGACCCCGATTCCGACCCAGTGACGGTTAGTCGTGCGAAACGCAGGTAATTGCATGGAAACGCTACAATCTCTAATTCTTATTTGATTTTCTTAATTTCTATTTGTTTCCTTTTTAGCATTACTTCATCCTATCAACGCACATCATCTTCATCGAAACTGTCACGTGACGTATCACTTAATATGGATCTCTTGGATATCGTCGGCGCCGATAAGGGCGCCAAAACGCGTACCAAACGACAAAGTCCCGGCCGGGAAACACTCTGCAAGACCACCTCACAATTTATTACACCACAAGCGGCGCTTAACAACAAAGGTGAGTTCGATTTATTGCGGTAATATAGTATTTTTGTTTACCTTTAATATTTTTTTTGTTTTGTTAGGCAATTGGATGTTCGTGGTGAATGAACCGAGCACAGCGCGCCAAATGGTTAAAGCGGAATTGTGCGCGTAAGTTTGCTATAATCCAGTTTACAATTACATTTCACTAGAATCACCGGGTGCCAGCAGTTCACAGAAACTTATGTAGGGTGTCCACAATGTATTTAAAAATAAAAATTTAGTACAGGGTGTCAGTAGTTACATAAAATTTCTCATATTTCCACTACTGGGAAGAGTTTGCACACTGAAAAAAATTAATGAAATTTCCATTTTAAGACATAATTTTTTTAGTGTGTTTTCACTTAGATGATTTTGTGATACTACCAAACAATTTACAAGCGGCTGAAAAGCGTTAAATCAACTTCATCAAGCCTAACTACTTGTGTTTGAATACTTCTGATATCCTTGTGAACTAGAAAACGGGAAATACGGGAAATACTAAAATCTGCAAATTGAACTATCTATCTAACTATTGTGGTCGTTAAATTAATTAAAGCATTGCATTCATTCCATTCTCTTTACTGTTAAGAACTCTTCTTTTTTTTAATAATTTTCCAAATCATGAGTATATTCTCGCAGAGAACTTCTCAAAATTTGACAGTAAAATCAGGGCTAGATTTCTAAATCACCGTAGATTTCCCCTTGAACTTTGATTGCGTATTCTCTTTGCACACGATCGCAACCGACACAACCGAGGCAACCAACAACTCTAAAAATATGCACCTTAAATTAATGCCGAGTTCACTAAGAGGATACAATTATATCTTATACATATAAGACCGAATATTATGAGGCGATGCAGTATCTGAATAAACGTAACAAATTAGTATCATGAAATATGATACATGTAGCAAGAACACGAACAGGATATACATGACGAGAACTAAACACATACCACCTGTTAAACATCCCAACGATTGCCGATGTACTCTTTCTAAATTCTAATCCTGCCAAAACAGCTAGTTTCATGAAAGTTTAGTTTAGTGATCTTTTGACATAGAATTTTCTGTTAGGTTTTGAGATTTTCAAGTCGATCTTACCGACAAAGAAATCGAGGACGTCTTTTGAGTGTTGAGCATTTGTAAGAGGGGCAACGATAATATTTGTAAGATCAAATTGTGGTAAAACACCCTGTGTACGCATCGGTTTCCATCAAAATGTTGGAAAAATGAAAACATCAAAAGTTATACATATGTATATTTAACATCTGCTCTGGCCTCAAATAACGAATTATGAGTCCGAAAGTAAAAAAATAATCGAATAATTTGATATCTATCTTAGTATCTTATCTACAAGTAGTAAAACTTGGTCTTAAACAAGAAGATTTTCTGTAAGATGTCATCATTTCTACAACTATCATCTGATCAAATTTGACCCAGACTGGCAAAAAAAAGTAGTAAAACTCGGTCTTGAACAAGAAAGTTTTCTGTAAGAAAACATCATTTCTAGAACAATCATTTGATCAAATTTGACACGGACTGACAAAAAACTAAATTTCTAAGTCTTCGTTCTTATCTTCAAAAAGGCTCCTAATCTAAAAAAAAAGCATGCCCAACGCTCAATTCAATTTTCCAATCACTTGTTGTAAGTCTTGGCTGGGATAGTGCCTACAGTGCCTTCGGCGAATTTTGGTTTTTTCAATTTTGAATCATGTTTGAAGCGCCATTCGATAGATTGTTTTACAGTTGTAAAGTTCATAAACCCACGCCTCATCACCAGCAATGATGCATTTAGGAATGTTGGGTCCTCAGATACCTTCAGGGATTTCCTTTGCGACCTCCACGCTTTGACACGCTTCATACTCAAAACAATAACCTAAATGTATTGAGTCGATCCATCATCAGATCCTCTGTTATCTTTATGTTGCTGACACGATGATTTTCAAGCACTGTTTCTTTAACTATTTCGATGTTATTGTCATTAACAGAGGTGGATGGACGACTCGCATGAGGCAAATTTTCGATGACTTCACGACCTTCACTTTTTTTGCTTTCTGCCACTTAAATGCTTGTGTTTGTGATAACCTAGATTCTTTAAAACACTCTTGCAACATTTTTAATAATTCTGTAACCATTATTTTATTGGAAATATAATAAAAAGGCTGAGTTATCTTTTATTATCTTAGACGCCGCTATCAGTCAAGACTACGAAGTTGCATACATATATTTTGATGTTTTTGGAAACTGTATCGGCAATGTGTTGCTACCACTCAGTTTTACTGATCTAATAAGAAGTGATCGCTCATATATCGAAATAAATTTTCTGCTATATTTTACTTAACCAACGAAGATCACGATATAAAATTGGTACGCGAATTTAAGAAGAGTTTTTGTAATCTGTATGAATGCAAACTCTATAACGCTCTCAAATTGATTCAAAGCGCTACCAGTTGCTTATAGTAGGGGAAGACAATGAAAAGCACTGGAATCGTGCCAAATTCTATGTGTTTTCAAGCGCTCAAAAATATATTTTTACCCTAAATCTCATATTTACATACAACTGACTCTTTGTTGAATTAAATAAGTTATAATTGGCGCCATGCATACCCGCATGAACGCTGTTTTTTTTTTGTTGTTGGACAAAAAGAGTACCCCTTCAATTTTTTAGCGCGCTACACGCCACACTTATTGACACATAAATAATATAACTGTAAAATAAAAGGAAAATCAAAGGCAAACTGACACAGTCTTAACCCTCAAACGAACAATCAATCAGGGGAACAAATTAGCTACATGCAAGCTTTTCTAGTAGCTTACCCTGCACACAGGGATACCCAACGGAATGGCATACATATATTGTGGAAGCATTGTATTACTTGCACATTCTGCATTTGAATTCGAGTGTGTAGTATTGGTGCAATGGGAGAAAGAGCGCAGTTCCCTGCTGCTCTTACGTTGTGCTTCTTTTCGGGGAATATTTGAGGATTGCTTGCTTTCACAGTCCAGTAATAATTGCGGTTAAATACAAATTTAACACCTCTCAGCACCAAAAAGAAAAAAAAAACAACAACAAAAAAGCTGTACAAAAACACTCGCTAATATTTGAAAAAATGAAATTATATAAAAAATGCTTAAAAATAACTGGGTAAAATTGGGTCAGCGACAAAGGAAATGTCTGCGCGTGCGCGTAAACTCTGCTGGCGGTGCTAACTAAGGTCCTGCTTGTTATTTATGCGCAAGTATGCGTATATGATTGCACGGGTTTGCGCCAGCAAGGGTACATGATTCCCTCAATATATATATGTATACACATATATACATATGTAAATGGGTGTGTGTGCATGCTTGAAAGGTTCCCCTAGCAGCAGGAAAAATTGCGTACAAAGTGACTTTGAACCAAAGGGGGTATTACAAGATGATTTGCTAGGGGACAAATAAAGGCGATAGCCACGCGCATAGCCAAACAACAAGGGGATCCCAGTTAGAGAGGGACAGAAATGCATAATCGTTGTAAGGGAAAGACACGCGTGCAATGTGCAACATGGTATATATTTAAATATATAACCATATTTTTTTTTTATATAAAAGTATATATATGTGTGTGTAAATGCCTTGCTACAACGAGTAGCCATGCGAATTACCTTAGAGATATCTACCTACAACTTTTAATTAAACAAACACTTGTTACTGAGGCGCGTACAGCTTGCAACACGCATGTGTGCACACTGAACCTTTGTATGTGCAACACATATGTATGTGTGTGTGAAAACACAATTCGATGCGCTTATGTGTGTGAACGTGTATATAATATGCATTTAATTGTGCATTGAGCAAAAACACAACAACAAAAACAATGACAACAAGATAGCAAAAAACAACAACAACAACAAGAAAAAAAAACGTTAACTTCGGTTGCACCGAAACTATAATACCCGTCACAAATTTGGAAGATCCCATACAAGAATTTGATTTTGTTCAATTAGTTTGTATGGCTCATCTACCTGCCAGTGATCTGATCTAAAAAAAAATTTCGGAGATTGTGCCGTTGCCTCGGGTAATAATCCATGCCACATTTCGTTAAGATATCTTGTCAAACATTTTTTTTTTCATACAAACACTTGTTATCGATCGATTAGTTTGTGTGACAGTTATATGTTGTAGTCGTCCGACTTGAACACCTTCTTCGGGGATCATGCCATTGCCTAAAACAATAATCCGTGCTCGATTTCGTAAAAAAAAACTTCTAAAATAAAAATATATGCCTGTAAGGTCTTGATATTAACTGGTCAGTTTGTATGGCAGCTATAAGCTGTAGTAATCCGATATCACTGGTTCCGATAAATGAACAGCTTCTTGTGAAGAAAAAGATGTGTGCAAAATTTCAGATCGATAGCGCAAAAACTGCAGGACTAGCACGCGTATATACAGACAGACAGACAGATGGACATACTTGTCGACGCAGCTCTTCATGCTGATCATTTATATATATATTTTATATGGTCTCCGACGTTTGAAACAACAACAAAGCAAGCAAATTAAATTGCGTGCGAACCTGCACAGGATACGCTCTAAGCTGTACACGCATTACTGCTGCTGACGTTCTTGTTGTTGTTATTTTTGTTGTTATTGTTGCATTTTTGGCATTCTCCGCTGATGCTCGCCACTTCGCCACTCACCTTTATTGGACCTTTAAAGTGCATTTTTTATAGCGATACACATGCTTGTTGTTGTTGTTATTATTGTTAATGCATTTTATCTCTATATGGTATATACACTTGCTGCTGTTGTTTTTGTTAACGCATTTATTTTTTCATACTTTTTCCTTTTATTATTTTTTTATATTTATCTTTTGCCCTCATTCTCATTTTATGCTCATTCGTTTTTGCAGCTCGAACACCTGCTCGAATCTCTGCCAACTGCCCAACGGTTACAACTCCAGATGCGAACAGAAATTCGTGCAGAAACGCCTGATTGCCCTGCAGGCCAACGGTCAAAATCTCTACACGGACTCATTTTGGTTTCCGAGCTGTTGCGTTTGTACGATAGCGGCGAATTGAGTGCGCCACGGTTGTCTTCAGCTGGCCGGAAGAATGCTGTCGAAGTGAATGCACTTAGGCTGAAGATTCTTACAAATCATTGTTTAATTAATTTATGGAGACTTTAATTTATACATATATGTAACGAATTTGTTAATAATGCAAGCATACAACAAAAACAAGAGCAAGAAACACTCATGTGAAAACTCCAAATCATGAAACATTAGAAACGAAAAGAAAAAACCCTTTCAACGATCTGTAGCATTAAATAATTTGTAGCGAAAAAAAGAAGATATTTGTAATAATTACATTAATTTAAAAGCGATGATGAATGTGAAAAAAAAACAATTTGTATTATTGTCAATAATTGAAAAAAATAGATGTTCAAAAAAGAATGAATTGGCGTGAATTAATTTCACTAGGAAAAAGGAAATAAAATTAGAAAATTTTAAAACAAAAAAATAAACGTGAAAAACCGCTAACTTTAGCTGCATCGAAGCTATAGCACCCTTTACAGGTGCATGCATGCACTTCTTATGGCATAAAGGGTATAACAATATCATTAACTTCATTTTAATCGCTCACTTTGTATGATAGCTATATGCTATAGTGGTCCAATCTGATATGGTCTAGATTATGGTGAGAGATTATAGCACTGCCTTGAACAATAAGCTATGTCAGATTTCGTGAAGATATCTCGTCAAGTGAAAAAGCTTTACATACAAGAACTTGGCTTTGATCGATCAGTTTATATGATCCCCATTACCCGATAATCACAAAACGGCTACAACGGAGTATAACGTGATTCACAACCCCGTATTGACGGACTGCCGATCGAACGTGCACGAATTAGCTATTAATGTAGGCATCTCAAAAAACCGTGTGGGTCAGCGGTCGCCACTGCGAAATTGGTGAATTGGCAAACTGCTGCCCCGTCCTCGCTATTATTATCAAAATTTGCCTACATAGAATTTCTTTTCATTTCCAAACGTCAAACATCCTTTACCGGGTAGAAATATGAGTCGAATGAGAAGGTTATCACCGTCACGGAGCGCCATCTTGGAAACCAGTTCTAGAGAAAATATTTTTCAGACGGTTTATGAAAGTTAAAGTATCGCTGGGTCAAGTGTCAGGAAGACTGGTTGTTTCTCAGAGGCATTATCGTAATGTAAAACCCACAAATTGGTATTCGTTTTACTCTTCCTAAAATGCTGGTAAATTTCAGGTAACGTTTTTTATGATTCATGATTCAAATCTATGAATTTATTTCGCATCTCTTTAAGTGATCTAACATCATCAAAATCACTAATTTGCGTTCAGCGAATGGAAATATTTAAAACTCTTTTCTATTCTTGTTTAGATTACTACGTGAATAGCAAACTCCAACAACTATGCTTGAAGTCATTCATTTTCACAAACAGGTGTACTTTAGAATCACGTTCTCCAGGTCAATTGTTTCTCATGTGTCCAGTTTCAGCGATTCCTCGCTGTTAATGAGTAATCCAACTCTTTCTCACCTCCTTACTTGCCTTAATTGCCACAACTACTTTCATCGCAAGAAAACAAATTATGAACCAAGATAATGAAAATTACATGGATATTTTGTAATCGATCTTTCACAATGCAAACGACACTTATTAGAAACTCGCGTGGTCCCTCATTTAAGGAACTACCTCAATCATAAACGTCTTGTGCCCAATTACAAGTACGGAATGCCTGTATCTATGTTATATATGTAGGTATATGTATGTATGCGAAAGTGCAACAACAACAACACAAATACATACGCTCAGCTACAACAACCACCGCTGGGATAATTGTAGTATCTGGCAGGCGAAATAATATTAGAAACTCAAATACAATCAGAATCCTTCGGTAGCCTACGGTGTAGCGTGGAAGCGAAAACATTTGAAAAGGTGTACATGTACATATCTACTACATTAAAATATGTATATCTTTTGTTTAAAATGCTGTATATTACTTTTTATGTCACGCTTTGTTATTTGTTTTAATTGGAAATTTGATGAATGAAGGTTACGTTTACTATGATGCTTGCGATTGAGCAAATTTAGGATTTATTGGTTGGTAGTAATATACAAAATAGAATTTTTTTCACATGATTATTAATATATAATTATATATGTATAGATATTAAAAAAAAAAATTCTTTCATCTTTAAATCAACTCCGATCTGTTAATGAATATATGCACTAAGAAGTGTTTTTTTTTCATTTAAAATCCGATTAATTTTGATATTCGAAAATGTTTGTCAAAGTCAGAGTTGATTACCGAGCTTATTCTTCGACAAGGATCTTAGGAAAATTACTTTTTATTATAGCCCAATGAGTACACTACTGGAAGCCTAAACTTCTAGTAGGTAGAATAACTAAAAAAAAGTTACTCATCAAAGTCCATAACTCATTTCAACACACTACCATACTCAGAGATCGTAAAACATAAGTGAATCATTTCGAATTAGATTAACATCAGACATTATTCCTAAGGAAGCAAAAAAGGCCAATTTTTTGGTGTTTTAAATCCACTTATAGCAAATCGAGATCAACCTAAGGTTAGAGCCAACTAAAAAATGTAACGTGTAATCTTTAATTTCTTTTTTCTTTTTCAAGAATCACTTCTATTGTATATATAGCATGGTATAACGAGGGTAATTAAATAGTAAAACAACGAAAACAACTTGTAGCCTTGTACAAGGACAAAGCTGGGGCAATATGTCGCAAAGCAGTTTGTATGATGTATATAGCTTTCATTGTAGTAGTCTAATAACTTACCTTCAAATACTTCACTTTTATAGTAAGCAAGTATGCTAAGACAAAATTAACGTCAGGTTATCATTAAACTGCTGGTTTAAGAAATTTGTAAGCCTGAACAACGTTCTTCTAAATTCGTGATTAGAGTACAGCTTTAGCGAAATTTGTTTTGGATATGACGTCAAACTACATCTAGGATACTATTTAACGTTAGATGATCATTTTTGTCTCGGCAAAATCCGGGACGGTTTTTTTAGTCATCGATTTCTTTCCGTATTACAATTCACTGAAAAGCGCGACATACAACACAATTTTATTCAATTAATTTTTTTTTTAATTTCTAAGCCGGCCGGAACGCTTAACTCGGAATTCGGACTGTCGGAAACCAGAACATCAATTGTTTCAATATAAACGCAAATTGCGTTCAGGGACATGTACAGATTCTACACTCGACTCGAAACTGCGCCCTTGGGTTCACAGATAATTCCTCGATATAACTAATAGCTGGTATTCAAGCATCATGCGGCTCGTTATTGAAAAGAAATGTGGCTTATTGGTGAAACTGGAATATTGTGGGATTGAAGAAGGCGGAAAACATTTCCTGGCATCTCGAAAGCAATTAAAAATGTTAATAAATAAACGACGACGCCAATTGCAATATTATCAACGTACGATAAAATCTAACAGTTGGTAGGCCTTCAGCCTTCAAAGTTTGCTTCATTTTTTTCCAAACATTATATGCTTTGCTGACCCTAAATATTGTTGAAACAATTGCGTACGAATTTGGTATTGATTGAGGTAAGCATTCAAGGAAATGTGTCACCGTTTGCAAAGTTCCTGGAGCAAATGGTGAGTCGAATAAAATGAATATCAGAGACATAAGCTCAGTTGAGTCATCTAACTTCGGTGCATTATGTCCGCCAGATTTTCCCAACGAACTACTTCGTTAGAATTATCTGTAGATGACTGAAAGGACGAACATATTAGACGTTTTATAAAACTTGCAGCTCCCAAGGCTTGTGTCGTCTAATCAGGAAAACACTCTTGAAGGAAACATAGAAAAGGTTAAAGGAGATAGAATCAAGGGATAGAGGTTGACACTGTGATGTTTGTTCTTGGTTCACTGCTATGGATGGATACATGTGACATCCTTGCTTATCTCAATCTGCCTAGAGGCGATTGGATACATACATATATAACATAGTTTAATACCTTTCAAGGTTTTCAGAAATCGACAAAAACTACAAAAGTTTTCATATCTCCCTATCAAATATTTGAGTCATTTGAGTTGAAGGACTGTAATAATCTTTTGTATGTATATTATGTAACTATATAAATGTATGTGTGTGTATCAGTATTTTTAAAATAATTCTTCATTTCAAATAATATATTTTTTACAACTGATATTTTATACAAATGAATAATGTTGAGAAAGTTTTTAACAAGCGTGTTATTAAAAATGCGAACAACTCAAGTTTGGCGGGTGCAGCCTACAACAACAAGTGTTGCAATATCCTTTAACCCTTTCATATTTTGCACAATTTTATAATATGTTTATATGCAACTACACGTATATTAGGGTGGAGCGAAAAAAATTTTTTTTTTTGCTTAGCCTGAGGGTAAAATTTATAGATTATAAAAAAAATAATTTTTGAACAAAAAAATTTTTTTTTACCATCTAGGGGCGGTACATTTTTTTAACTTTTTATTTCGTAAAAAATTTTTGATAAGTGTTCTAGAAGCTGTGGAAAGTCCTCTTTCTGGTCAATTAACAGTTATCAACTTAAAAAAAAATCTTAAACGACAACATGCTTTCCTTAAGTGTTAAAATAAATTTTGATCAAAAACCGTCACATTCGGTAATTTTTATATAAATGTAAAGAGTTTAAACCAAAGAAAATTTTAACTCGAAATTTACTTTAAAACTGAGGCAGCCAAAAAAAAATTTTTTTTTGTTCGCTGCACCCTAACGTAAGTATATATATATATGAGTATTAACTATATATTATGTGTATTAATAGCAGCCTGCATTAGTAAGTGTTTGTGTATTTGTATTAATGTTGGTGTTGTAAAATAAGTAGCTACAAAAGTTTCGTGCCTTTTAATTTCCTCTCAAGGATATTGACACATTCAAGCGTTGAATGGCTTCATCATTAACCGCTGCGCGAATAGCGTAAGCAGCGAAGCAGCAATAACAAAAACAACAAAAAGTGACTACTTGAAAGGAGCAACAACATTACACACACAAATTATGCACTCAAGTACTCATTCGCCTATAACAAAGATAATTAAGGACAACAACAAAAACTGCTGCAATAAACGGATGTGCATACATACATACATACTTACATATACCATATATATGTATATATACGGTTATATACATACATATAAATGTATATGGTATATAAATGTATATCATTTGTTTATGTAAATGAGCGTCAGATCTGCGCGCCAGCTCATTATTGTTGTACACATCATTATCTGCGGCAGTTGAAGTGTCGGCAACAACAACAACAAAAACAGCAAATTATAACAACACCATCATTAGGAACATCATTAAGTTTATTTTACGACAGCAACTGCATTGCGCAACGCGAAAAGCAATGTTGCCAAGGAAGGCAGCAAAACAAAAAAATGCTAAAGCAACAACAACAACAAGCTAAACTGTAATCGTTTTAGCTGC